GTGTGTTATACACCATCGTCAGAATCCTATAGTAACTACAGCTGCTCTTTGTAATAAATTTGACTCTATAAAGTTTATTATCTTCATGGGTGCTTATGCTATGCTGCTTATGTGTCCAAAGGAACTAGGTTCAACCTGTACTCTGTAGTAATGACAGCAGGAAACATGACATTGATACAGGTTTGTTGTTCCTTTAAGTTGTCTTTACAATCTAAACTATTTCTTGTGTAAAGTCCTATCTTGGGGCCAAGGCCAGATTACTGAAAAAGCGGACTGCTTAATCCTTTGAAGTACAAAGGAGAGAGAAAATTGGGAGTCATACCAAACTGACTAGTTGGTGTATCAGTTTTATGCACTTCTCACTAGCCTGGATGTTTTAAGAAACTGAGTTAAGTAATAACTTTTGTGAACCAATGCAAATGCAGACCACAGAGCAAAGTGTTTCATTTTAATGAATGTATACTGATGAGAGCTGCATATGAGGACTACACAATGTCACAACAAAAATATAAATTTAATTTAACTTATTTCACTGTCTCCTGCGGTATACCAAAAAGTGAAGGATAAAACCATTTCATGCCTTGTTAGACTGGCGTGACCTCCAATTAAGACCAGAGTATGGTTAAGCAGGAAACTAAAGGTTAACTAATGTAGATGTTATAACTAGATTTTACTAAGATGATCAGTAAATATTACATCTTCTGATTTCAATTTGTTTTTTTACCAACAGTTCGATAATTTCTAGTTCTTACTAGGGAACCGTCTTACCTACTGTGATTAGGGATTTATAGCTTTCACTAATAATCACTGGTAACAATGGATTTCAGGTTTTTAAAGTAACCTAAAATAAATGGCATTGTGATCGGAATCTTTTTAACACTAAAGCACAGTAACATAAATATGAATGTAAAATTGGTTCCCTTTAAAGGTTTTTCACAAAAGAGTTTATTACAGCACTTAAATGGAAATGCCTCAGCAAGGTATCTAATGGGTACAAGAGGCTCTTTCACCAAGGGTAGAGTGCCCAGGACATGAAGCTGACCAATCACGTCAATGAAGAATGGTGGCACTATACCTGCGTTTCCCAATGTCTTCATGGCTTAGTGCTTAAATAATTATGCACAAAGAAAACTTTACCTTTTTACCTTAAAGGAAATCCCTATGGATTCATTTCCTCTTTATAAATATACAAGTAAATCTGAATTTATAATTAATGTAAATATTATACATGGCATGTAACAATGCACATGGTGGTCTGGATGTACATATCTATTTTCTTGACCTCTGTACTAGTTTGAGGTGAGCGGTCAGCTTCAGAACCAATCTGGATGTGAAGAAAGTTCTTGACCCTACTAGGACTCAAACTCCTAACCCTCTGTTGTCCAGCCCATAGCCAGTGACTATAATGATTGCGCTATCCTGGCTCCAATCAAACTAGTACAATGATAACTGACTGTTTCACGTCAAGAACAAATAAGAAATAAGAAATCTATAAGATCTTGAGGAGGAAGAAGGGAAGGAAAGTGGAAAATTTGACTGAACATAATTTTGTCATATATCTGATGTCACCATGACATGCTGAATAAAGTTCAGATTTAACATTAATATACTTTGAAACTTCAGGGTAACATTCAAGAATAATCTTTAGGAAGCATAACATGGCAACAATTAATTATTATTTTAAAATGATTCCTGGCATATTCAAGACTAAACTATAGGGGATGAGAAATTGTGAATCCAAAGTAATATATCAACATTTCCTTAAGGCAGCTGTCATGCCTAGTGTTATGAAATACACAACCATCAAACAATAATTTTACAAATTATTGGAGTAAAACAATTTACTGGCCTGCAAAATAATGTTTATAATAGAAATTGCTTTCTTCACAGTCTTGTAAGCCTCAAAGTAGCAAAAGAATGAAGTTTCATTTAATCAACCTACATAAAACACACTGTATGTTTAGTGCAGTTGGACATACTGGTAATTTCATCATATTTTAAGTACAAGCCCAATCAGATAAAACTTTAATGATAATTTTACATAAAATACATTGATATTGCCAATTTGTAACTTCCACTCTCAGTAAACAAATCATACTCTGTAACACACTGATCTGTAAACAAACATATAAATAAGAATCACAAATTCTCCTGAAAATTATGAGATATTAATTAGAAAATAAATTATATAATTTCACGCAACTGGATATCCATTTAAAGAGAATTCTAAGTGTTCTTAAAATAATAAATTAAAATATAAATAATAAGATTAAAATAGGACTTTCTTTATCTAATGGACAATAATTGTAAAGCATAGTATTATATTGCTGATTCTAATCTAGATAAAGCACTAAACAAAACTGGAAAAATTCCGAAGACACACCTTAAACTATGTCAGGCTGGAACGCAAGCTAGATCCTTTGTCACTAAAAAGTAAAACAAATACACACTGTCACATTACTATGTAATTCTAACGCTCTCAGATAATTTATGTCAGAGTGTGACTTGAATTAATCATGTTCTCAGCATTGAAATATATAATGAAAAACTAACACAAAAAAAGAACAAAAGGAAATCTTATTTTAAAATCTATAATTTATTATAGGTCAGTGATTTCCAAGCTGTGTTGCCTATATACTTTAGATTTCATGGCCATCTTGGAAAAAGAGGCAAAACACAGCTGTCTGAAATCAAAAGTGCATGCAATATTCCCATATATATCAGAAAACAAGTTACACTTTTAAGTAGTACTTTCAACCAGAACACATTATCATGTGTGGTGGCGTGACTGAAACAAGAAAATTTACTAACCACGGCTACAACTGGATATATTCAAATAAGAAAATGATCTTTGGAGTGTATGCTGCTATGGCATCAAGCTATTAAATCTATGAGACCTAAAATTCAAGTCACTGTAAAAGAAGAACTGCACTCACACAAATCAGTTATTATTCTCTCCTACTACCCACCTATGCTGACTGGGTAGTGATACCTGCCTTGTATCAAAAAGAAGAAGAAGAAAAAAAGCATGGACTGTATAAATTTTTCTGAAAAACTAAAGTCAGAGAAACTGTTTTCTAAAAAATTATACAATCTAGGCTACAATTATGAGCAGCTTTGTACACTGAACGTACCAATTATGCATTATAAATTTAAAATAATACACAACGGAATGTGTCAATAATACAACTGTTAATAAATTTTGATTTCAACAATGGAGAAAATGAAAGGTTCTACAATAGCAATTGTAATTTTTACTTGGAGTCAACAATATCAGTCACAACAAATGGCAAGAACAAATCAAAATGAAATGAAACTTCATAAAAAATTAACAACAGTTCTGCAATTCCTATTTTAAGAATACACAACTTCAAAATAATTCACATTTCAGATTAACAAACATTGCAAATCTTCCAAGTTCCTACTTTACATCCCTATATTGAAAACTCTGGTTACGGATTCCAAGTCAGGTTGAAGGGAGTAAATGCATATGCTGAGATAATTGATGTATATATGCCCTCCAAAGGTGGTTAAGGGTCAGGGTGAAGGGCCAAATGCAGATGCTTAAATAACTGAGGGATATGTGCCTTCCAGTGAAGGTACTCAAATCCCCATCACTTGATTGAAAAACAAAATCAATTTTAAATCTACTCTCAATGCCGCTTTGGGACACAAGTGAATAAACTGAACTGGTAAGTCAATACTACTGGGGGGGGAAAAAAAAGACCTCAGAAAATACTTGTATCAAAAAAGCAACACTCCAACAATTCGCATAAGCCAGCTAATAGTGAACTAAATTGGAATATAAATATGCTTCTGTTCTTATAGGAATTTGAACTATCACCAACATCTTAATTTTTATGAAGTACAGTACTTTCTCATATATGTAATTTCTACTGTTGTTGCATATTAACCCATATGAAATAAATAAGGTCTGGCTACTGTGCAAGTGAATTTCTTGTTACAAGGTCTTGGTACAATGTATGCTACACATCCTTCTTTTTGTTACTATTCATCCAAAAATATCCCCCTTACCTTGCCACAAATCTGCACAGCTTAAAAGACTTCATTTGCACGTAAACTCATATTTGGTATAATTGACGTTCCGTTGCATTCAAAACACACAGTATAAATCTCACTACTCTGCAATCCAACAGTAGCTTGAAGCAGAGTAAACATATGTAACCAGTTTCTGAAGAAAAACCGTTCATGTATTTACTGATGCTGGAAAAATGAGTAAGTTGGTACCATGAAATCACCAAAGTTCTCTGCTGAATATACAAAGTGGCACTGAAAATACCATGAAGAAAATATACCAATATACAAATAATAAGAGACTGAATAAACCTCATTTAAAACTGTCCAAGTATCAAAATAAATTACTTTTCAGAATAGCCATCTTTGAGGAGCAGTTCTGTTTTGAAATGGATTATCACACCTTTTTTAAAAGAAGTCTGTGACTTTGTCACAAAAACTAATGAAACTTAGTACAAGGAAATATTTGTAATGCCACAAACTGCATCTTCATACAGTTGAAACATTTTATATCTGTTGAAAATTTCAGCTTTTAGTGCACATACATATATTTTGAAGAATTTTATTGCAAAGCATTTTAGTTATATGTAAACACAACCACAGAAGTAGGATTATAGTTATTTTTATTAGTGCACAGTCTGACAGCTTGGTGTATCACCAAAATATATTTAATTTTATCGCAGCACTTAAAGCCAAATTTAATTTGTATGTACATAAAAGAATAATCACAGCAGTCTTCTGGGATTTGGCACCGTGTATATGTGGTGTTAACCGACGTTTCGGAGGAACGTATCGCCTCCATCTTCAGGGTAGAACTTACCGTTCTCACGGTCTTGTCACTTGCAGATTTCTTATACTTTTTCTTCTACCCTGAAGATGGAGGCGATACGTTCCTCCGAAACGTCGGTTAACACCACATATACACGGTGCCAAATCCCAGAAGACTGCTGTGATTATTCTTTTANGAATGTTAACTGGAGTAAAATGTTACAGCAATTGCTAGTACAAAGTGATGCATCACCTTGGTCATCAAACCTTATTCCCCCCAAACCATAACACCAGCAGTCCATGAATATGCTCCAATTCACAGAAATTCTTCCATTCATATATAGTGACAAATAACCTTATTAGCTCATATATATCGAGGCTTATGTATTAACTGGTATCACTTGCTGCATAAAGAACTCAATACTAGTTTCACAGTTTTCCAACAGTCCCTTGTGAAAAGTTTGAATTTTAAAATATGTGACAAAAACATTCTGAATGTTTGATTCAATTCACTGGTTTCAGAGTTATAAATTTATTAAATCTGACTTTCAGATATACATCATCAAATGTAAAATAAAACATTTCATAAAATTCATGTAGCAGTCCCCTTATTCTCCTGAAAAGTGGTAATAATTCATTTCCAACATTCTACTGTTGATACACTTTTTACATGTAGAAAACAAGGGGAATCAAGTATTTCAGTCCTCTCTTACATACTGTCATTTGATTTGCTGGACTTATTCACTACAATAAAGAACTACGCTGGCCACTAAGCCACTATTAATAAAGCAATGGAATTTTTGTCTATAAAGGTAAAGTTGTCCCTGTAACCAAGCACCACACCATAAAAATGCATGGGGAAATATATCTATAGCTCCATACATGATTAACTTTTGCACTACAAGGATGTGGGTTTCCTTCTTGATATTACTTAAAGAGACAGTAATTATAGCATCCATTGCAATTAAAAAGACTATCCTGTTTTTAAACACCAACAAATATTTTGCTCTAATGCAATCAACCAAATTCGAATATGCAGTACTTAAAAAATGTTTCGGTACTTACAGATGATAAGGGGAGCAGTTCTGAAAAATTCCTTTTGGGAAATATGGATATATCAACCTCATTTACATCAGCATTTAGTGCTCTTGCGGTGGGGGGGGGTTATCACAATATTCAGTTCCCCTGAGATCAGTGTGTACAGACACATCCATCAAGCTACTTTAAATGCTAAATCTGACAGAATTACAAAAAATTATACAAGCCACACACTGAAGTAAGAGATACCTATTGGATGCTATTTACTAAGGGATTCAGAAACATTTTTTAAAAGTATGTGCATATGGCACAAGGAACTTTGAAATTACCGAAGTACTCAAGAAAGTTAAAGTGTACCATATCAATGCCTATAAAGCTAACAGTAGTGGTTGGCAATTATTTTTTATATGGACTGCATCATATTTCTGAGGATGACAGCAGTACAATGATGTAAAATGCAAGGCACATTCAAGACACTGGACAGTGTGGCTGGAAGCATTCATCCATTCCCAGCTTTTCAACAAAGTACAACAAAACCAGGAGAAACGCCAGCTTTAAGGAGTGTTAGGGGGGAGGTATGGTGATGACAATGAAGAGGAACAATGTATTATTACAAGTAGGAAGGAGAGCAGAGTAACAATCACCAAACCCAGCTAAAAATTATACCCTTCAACTGTACCATCAGAAATGCAAATGTCTGAAACACTTCAAATAACTTCCTCAAGAACTCCAGACTTGCTCTTTATGGTATAAAATGGGGAATATGTAATAAAATAAATGCCACCAGTTGACGACATGAATATTCATACTGTGGTTTCCTTGGGTCTGACACCAGTGCTGAATTTCAGCTCTCAAGATGAAGGCAGTATGTTCCTCCAAAATGTTGAAAGCCCACTTACCAGACTGCACGATATCATAGCCCAGAGGGCCACATTATGAGCCATCACCACCATGAAATCCTCAAATCTTACAGATTCATAAGGTAAATACTGTTCCAAATGCACGTAAATTTCCTAGTGCTCACTCTATACTTCATTCATCAGTAATCTGTCAGACGACAGGTCCACAGTCTCTTCCAAAACAGTTCCTCCACTTAATGCGATCTAGAGCTTTCTCCTTCAAATAAAAATATCCTCTTCTGTCCCCAAAGTCTTATGTGAGAAAAATACCACACTGCTTGAGCACCAGTATAATTACTGAGATGGCAAGTTTATTTCATCCAAAGTTCTAGATTTACTAATGTTTCAGCATAATTAATTCTTTATGTGGTCACATATACACATTCTGTACATTCAGAAAAGAGCATTGGTACTGCTTATTTTTTCAACAAAAATTGAAGAGTTTCCTAATAATGTTTCTTAATAAAGCGGAATCTTCAGACAAGAGCAAAATTCTCCAAATTTAACAGTTTTCGGGCTGAAATAGAATAAACTTTCACTTATGCATGCTACTGTTGAGACAAAATGGCATCAACAAAAAATATGGCTGAAATGAGGCAATTATACAGAGAAAACTTCAAAAGGCTAACAATCCTTGAAAGAACACTATTAGAATCTAACTTTACATGGAAAACATACTTGTGCGCGCACTTACATACTCATATCCATATGTAACTTTTCAAATCATGTGCAATGTGTTACAACACAGCTTCAAAAATAAAATTACATTGCATGTCCCATACAGTACAGTTTACTAAACATAGAATGTATAACAGTATCCCTGGCACAATTATTTCACACAAACAGAACAAAAGCATGTAGTTTGTATTGTGTACAATTTTCAAATTTCGTTACTAGAGATAAAATGGTAATTATAATAAAATGTGAAACACTTACTGCTGCAGTTCAAACCTACTTACTTATACCTACGTCAACAGTTCACCTTGTTTAAACACGACAGAAATGAAAAGCACATAAACAAAAAGAAAAACAGAGCCATGCCAGTGAATGATCCAAAATTAAGGGGGGGGGGGGGTTAAATTGTTCTTCTGCCTTCTAGTACTACTATGTTTGCTTAAATAAGACATTTTTCCTTGAAGTATGGGACAGCAATTTACAATTAAATCCATTTGCTTCACATACTGCTTTAACTTCAACTAAATTCTAGTAGATTCTGTAACTGTCAAAAGGCAACTTTGCCTCCAACAATATATTAATTTCTTCTAGTTTTTTCTATCATATTTACTCATAGAACTCCTAAGTTTCTTTCAAGCCAATTTATTATGTATAACACAGGATGAGGTAATACATGCCTGTATCTAAGACTTAAAAACTGCGGTATGCACTGTTGCAGCATCAGTGCTAAGGCAAGTAAATATTCATACAGAGCAATGCAGTGGTGGATGTAGTACTTGGATGTTTAAAGTTGCCAGTGACTTCAGCTTACCACTAGAGACATCCACTTTAAACTTCAGCAGACTGTGTAACAAGAATGATGAAACTGTGTTGACAGAATGATTATGCCCCTGAAATATCCATTTTCATGACTAGCAAGTAAATCTGGATTCAACTTTGACATTTTGAACATACTATGTACCTCCCAACGCCTGAATCTCTGTTCATTACTGATAGGACCCAATGTGTGTGACATCTTTTAAAATGTCAAGGAAACATTAATTTGATTTATATTATTCAATTAGGGCTATTACTTTCCTCAAAAGCCCAGATCATATCAGATATTCAAAAGGAACTTACAAAATGTTACATTACACATACTTCACATTGTGTGACATTTTTAATATGTTGATTAGCAATTTTTCAGAAATACTGATAACATATATGAGATATGAGCTTCTCATAGGAGTGACTATGAAGAGTACCATCTTCTGGGGTGTCAATATGTAGTTTCAGAGAAGTATACAAACATTTTGGAGAAACATACCTTCATCTTTACAAACTTGAGCAAGCAAGCAGCAAGTACAGCGAGCATACGTGGTGGCACATTCCGGAAGACTTTACCCATTATAAAATACAAGACTTAGAATGCCTGTGCATGCCGTAAGAATGTCTTTTCATTCTTGTATATTTCCATTGGTAACAATTTGATAGCAAGTATCAAAATTAAGCAACATTCATTTAGCTGAATGGATGGTAATAAGTAATTTGTGGTATATGATGAACCACTTTTCAGAAATTTTAAAGAAATATAATTCAAATTCAGACCACCTGTACGCACATTATATTATTTTTAGGTTTATTTAAAACCAGTGGCAGTAAATCAGGCTCTACAGAGTCAACAGTCAGGTATTTTGTGAATAATGAATTTGAAAGACTGCAGAAGCAGTTCTCGCCCAGTCTTGAGATATCCCAGCATTTATTTGGAGGGACTGGATAAAAACATAAAGTCAGGATAGATGGATTGCAAGTGACAATTCGAAGTTGGTACCTCCCAAATACACAAAGTAGGACTGCTACCTACCTGACTGTAACGTTCAGTACAGAATCTGTAAAAATAGGTAATTCCTTTGGGTATTTTCTGCTTGCAGCAAACTGAAAGAAAGTAATGAGGTTAAGCTGTTTTCACATATCCAAACAAATGGTAAAAGTAAATACATGGTAAGGCAGGCCCAAGAAAATTATACAGGAAAAAAATATGTTTCACCATTAGACAAACTGATATGAAACATCAGGAAATTACAAAATATATGATAAATCAACATCTCATGTTTTTTGTAGTTCAGTTCCCATAATGTATATCGGTAACTTTTAAATATCTACTAGCAATCTTTTTGGGTAGTCATAAAACTCACTGGTTGAGATATCAAAATATTATACTGATAACCCCTTGAAACACAAAAATCATCTAAATAATATTAAAGTAGTCAGAGCCTACCTCATAGAAAGCATTGTCTCTCCATTAAAAATACCAACTGCTAAATGCTGTTCAGGGAAATACCTGCTGTTTATGCTTAGAATCCAACAAAACCCATAAACATGCTGTATGGCAAAAATTCAGTTTTGGAATGGTGCATACAGTAGCCACAGTGCTTTAAAGGGCTAAAGAACATTGCTAAAGATCAACATTATGTTTATTACTCTTTTAGTATATAACTACTCATAGTACCAATTCACTCATCTTCCACTTTTAATTTACAGTTATTTCAGTTGTCAATTAAACACAAATAGAGCATATTCTAAGTGAGAAAAAGGAATATGGCAAAAGTATCATTGTTCAACAACATAGTCCTGAAGTAATCACACTTTTGCAACAAGACATTCAAAAAGATTTCTGAACGGAGGAATAAGCATGAATTTTGGTGCTCTAATATTCCTTTTTCTATTTCACCTCTCCATTCTGGAAATAGAGTCTCCAAAGCTGCTTTAAAATTTTACAGATAAGACATACATACTTAAGTGAAAAAGGTTTAGATAAGACGGTTACATCAATTATATATAGACGGGACTTGGAGAGATGCAGTAACAGTGCAAAAAAAATTTTTACACTCTTTGTGCATATACTCAGAAACTGATGGTGTATGTCTTTCATTATTTATTTTGGTTGAAAAAACTATACTCTGCTGTCTGAGCAACGGTAAAGAATGAAAAATAATAACAATAATATCTGAAAGCACTCTTTTAATCGTGGAAGTGCCAAATCTGCCCACTGAGCAAAATCAGAAAATGTACATACAATTTGCTGTACACAACTGAAAAATAATTAAACAACTGTCCTTTTGGCATCAAAACAATATATTATAAATTAATGAAAATGTTTGGAACATTCTAAAAACACACGAAACACATACTGTGTGTGTTATGAGGTGCTACCAAACTATACTGCTGCCAAAAATATACTAATGTTTCTCCCATCTGAAGGACATCTTCATATATTTGAAGTACAGAAAACATAAAACAGCTATAACGATCAAAACAGAACTGTTTTCATTATTTTCTATAGTAGGAAATCCTTATATTGTCTCTGCACTCTGAAATACTTGTTAGTCTGATCTGTGAGTATCTAAGTAAATTATGTAGTCTTGGAGGTTACACAGCAAGCTGTAATTTTTTATAATCCAGCATCTTTGTTTCAACGCAGTGTTACTAAAATGCAATAAACAACCAAGATTCTGTAATGATATCTATGTACACGATTAAATATAACTGTACATAATAGGTATAACAAGTCACGTTATTTTATAAACTCTACAACTAAAGAAGGCAGACAAAACATTCCCACTTAAAAAAAATAAAATAAAATTAAGAAACAACAGCATAGAGTGTAATTACTTCTCTTACATAATTAAATCAATCAATAATACAAAGCATAAAAGTTCATGACCAAATTAAGTTAAACAGCAGTCGAAGTCAGTCAGTAAGGCAACAGGACTTAATTTATAATCTTTCAACTTCACAACATGTTTCTATCAACTGCGCCTATGTATGTATGTATTTATTTCTGGTTATATATCTGCCACTGTATCAGCTCTTTCCTTGCATGAAGAGCATGGAAAAGACAGAGTGTAATGTCAAATAAATGAAGTATGCCACTTGGACCAATTACATGGACAATCAGCTGTCTATCAACACAGTCTGCTGGCAAATGGAAATGAATAATACCATCACAAAACTGAAGCATGAGAGGAAAGCAATGATAATGTTAGAGCTGTAATTATTTCCTCTGACATTCCACTCTGATTATTATACCTTCCACTTCAAAGATATTTATTTTCCTCTCTTTACATTCATTCAAACACTCATTCATTCATATGCAAAAAGACAGCATAGTGCTCCTCCATTTTTATAAAATAAAACCTGTTATTTTTATACGAAAAACTGTGGTACCAAAAAGGCACCCAAGTTAGAACACAACACATAGCTTCACTAGCACCAGTCTATCATTGGAATGCAATTCATACCTTCATTTTTTCAAGAAAATGTATATACAGTATTGCTGCCCTTTTGCATCATTTTAATCACGGCCTTTCTATACAACGAAAAAGCACTTTCTATCTCAAATAGTGAGTTAACAAATAAACTCTGCATTAGCACTGCGTATTTAGGGCTTACTTCATCTGCAAAACTACCCCGAGGCACACACCATTGTACACAAAGAATGTTATAAAAAATTATACAATGTACAATTGTGTACATATATACATAAAATTACTGTGCTATTTCTTGCAATATATGGCTACTCTAACCTTTAATACAGATTTTTCACTGACATTGTTTTGTTTGTTAAGGTACTAAAGTCTTTACAAAGGCATTCAATTTCTTAAGTGCAACCTGGATGTGCACAGTTCTGTGGGTGGAAAAGGCGAGTTACATTCATCCCAGATCATCTCGTTCCTCTCTCACTTTAGGAATGGAAGTGTCCATACTTGCAATGATTTGATCTACTAAGGTGACAGGAGCCTGTGCCTTCGATTGTGAATAGCATTTGGAAATACCGGTTTTCGACACAGACTCCTTCTTTACCATAACCATACAAGATTTACTGCTATCACAATCCATTTTAACTGGAGATACACTTGACTGTTTACTTGCTTCAATACACACTTCCCTTTGGGTAGGTGAAGATGCAGACAGTCTATGACTGAGATCACACACAGCACTTTCTTTTTTAAGTGCACCACACACTAAGTCACCAGATCCATCAGGACTGCCACTGTCATCCACTGGAGCTGAAAACGCTGTAGATGACAAAACACTGGGACTTTCAATTTGACTTAAGTCTGGTCTTAATGGTGTACAAAATGATCTGTTATCGTCAGAGCTATTGTCACCTTTTCTCTTGGAAGGTGAAGCAATCTTCTTGACATTTGGACCACTATTGTTATCTTTCCTTGGTGTCTTTTCACAACGTTTCTCTCGATCATGTCTATGTTCCTTCTTGTGTTTGTCACTGATGTCAGAGTTTTCTTTAATTTTTTCTTTGTGTTCTGCTTCACTATTTCCAATCTTTACCTTCTTCTCATCCTTTTGCTTTTCAACCTTTTCTCTTGATTTCGCTTTATGTTCCTTTGTTCCACTTTCCAATTTAACCCTCTTTTCTTCTTTCTTTTTATCTGAATTTTGTTTCTCTTTGAGTTCAATCTCATTTATACATTTTCTCTTCTCTTCTGCTTTCTCTCCATCCACAACTTCTTTCCCTTCTTCTTCAAACTCTAATTCCATCTTCTGATCTTTCTTTTTTCCACTATCATCTTTTTCCTTCCTTTTACAAGAACTCTCTTCATACTTCTTGTGCTCTACTTCTAGTTCCTTGGAACCTGACTTACCTTCTAAAATCCTAACACGTTTCTTTTCTCTCCCTTCACCATCAAAATCATCCAAGTCACGTTTCTTAGACTTGCTTTCTCCCTTGCTAGGATCTCCTTCCTTAAGTTCTTTTTTATGCTTGTCTTCATCTTTCCTGTCTTCAAGTCTCTTCCTATCTTTGTCTCTCTCCTTCCTCTCGTCCCTTTTTGCTTTGTCACATCTTTGGTTTTCATCTTTCACGTCTTTCTTGAGAGTCTCACAAGCTTTCTCCAAGTTTCTCTTTTCTTTATAATGATGCTGAGCAGTAACTGCCCGTGAATGTTGTTTTAAGTCAGCAGAATTCTCTGTCTCAGGGTAGTACTGTTTCAGGCGAACATGCCATGCTGTTGAAGGACAAAATCAAAAGAGAATTACATTAATATCACCTTTATAACATGAAAGCAGCTGATATATAAAAGCTGAAGGGGAAGATAAATTACAGTCATCCTCAAACTTCTGTAATATGAATGGGCTCCAGGTTTGAAACTTTATTTTTATTTTAGACCTTATCAGTTCTAGCTGCTTAGCAAATTAATTCTTCTAGTGAAATGTTAAAAGAAAGCATATAGGATATTGGTGGGAAAGCCAGAAGGAAAGAGGCCACTGGGAAGACAAAGGCATAGGTGGGTGGACAATATTAAAATGGATCTTAGATAGGATGGGATGGTATGGATTGGATTTATGTGGCTCAGGATAGGGACCAGTGGAGGTCTCTTGTGAACACAATAATGAACCTTGGGTTCCATAAAATGCAGGGAAATTATTGAGTAACTGCAGATATGGCTTCTCCTCAAGAAGGGCTCAGCTCTGTAAGTAAGTGAAATGTTAAGTAAAGGTAAGGTAAAAGGTAAAGCTATCCCTGAACAGGTAATGGAAGCCCATAGGCCTGTGGAACACTGAGGCTCCAACATTTTCTAGACAATCGGCTAACAGATGGTGCTGAGGTTGTCAGCCTTAGGCGCAGGCCACCCTTTACCCCCCAGGAAGATTCCTGGTACTCATTTCTGTTAAAAGCTAAGTCGGCCTCAGGGCCATAATGCGGCTGAAAATATTTGGCCAATTGAAAAAATCCAATGACCTCACTGGGAATCAAACTCTTGGCCTTCCAGCTTGTAGCACAGTGCCCCCTATTATGCACGTAAAAATTCCCAAAACATTATTCTTTGTAGATATGAGGTGGTTGGTTACTGTTATAAGGTTGTCAATACTTTGTTCACTGCAGAGGTTACTTAGCATCAAATGGAATAAGGGAGACAGTTATGTATGATGAAGAGTTAAAGGCTTGAAAGTGACCACGGTCTATTTCAAGGTAGTATCGTACCATTTGTCTTCAGGGAATGAGGAACAAAAGCAATAAATATAATAAAACAATAAACAAAACCTAATAAGGGTGGCTGGTGGCCCGGCTGCAATTCAAATCAAATACAACATGAACAGATGTTACTTTCATTATCATCCGAATTAACCTACTTGGTATAAAGACTAAGTTAAATGCAAATCTTTATAAACTACAGTAAACCATCATTAATAGGGGAAAGGAGTAGCCTGAATTAGTGGAAGGTCTGAACTACAGAGCATTTTATCGTGCAATAACAAGTAGAAATGGGCAGAAATGCACGAGAAAACAGGGCATGTAAACAGTATGAACATTTACACAACAAATTGTGAGACTTCCAGTTGAATAAATGGGTGTAACTCTAATGAAACTCTATTTAAAATAATCATATAGTCAAACATAAATTTAAAATGTTCACAATGTCTGATTGTTCACATAACAAACAATGTGATGACTGAAATCTCTCACACAATTCAGTGTTCTCATATGGTGTCTGGATTCAATTTTTAATCTGCCTCAGATAACTTATGCAGTATGCAAGTCTGCAAATACATTGTTACTCAAGATTGTAATTTTAATCAATACTTTTGAAGAAGGGGACAATTTTTTATGCCATAAAGAGTGACTTCAAAACAACTGATGACTTTTTTCACAACTCAGCATTCAAAATACGAATTAGAAAATTTCTCTCTTCTTAATCTAAAATTTGAAATGCATATGTCTAATGAGTCTACTGATACACAGCACGTATCTAGCTAGATGTGCTGCATTACAGCAGAAATTCGTCTGCCGCATGTCATGCATGCAACCTTAACACTTTCATGCAAGTGAATGTCCAACAGATATCTATTTTATGGCTGTCATTTTTACACACACAGACACACAGAAAAGTTTTCTTGTCTCCAATCAATACAAGCATTACTGTTCTGCTTGGAACCAGCTGTATGCACTGTATATTATACACCATAGAATTTCTTAGCTTTGTATGCATGAGGCCAGAGAAACTTCACTGCATGGCCAAAGTCCCAAACCTGTACTTCTGCACATGTGTCATCATAAAAACAGAGAGAATACGGTTCTGTTAGTATTATTAGTTTGTGTGGTATGCCTGTAATTTTCTTCATGTGAATTAACATATCTACTTGTATTGAACTAGGGTGACAGACATAACACATGAAGCACTTTAAATTTCAATTATATACCTATGTACATACACTATGGCATGGGTTCTTCTAAACACCCTGGCTGGAACACATGCAACTTTCTGAAATTACACACTGTGACATGACGGCTGAGAGCCAGAACAGCAGGCCCAGGATAGATGCCTATTGCCAGGCAACAGATGGTAAACATGTTTCCACAGCAACCACTAAATATGTTCCCACACACCAAAACTGAGCCACTGCCAAGCAACAGCCACTTAACATGTCATATAACTATGGAAAAATTCTTAAAAGTAGCTTTCTCTATGTGGCCCATTCTGAGACTACACTGTCACATGTATGAGTGACTATAGACAGGGTTTGGGATGGTAACCAGATTTACTGAACACTTACAGACTGTAGCCGCAAGTAACTATGGCACTATCATTAATTCATCCACTCCACAGTTTGCTACAGCACGTACTAAGTCTACTCAGTCTGCTGTGTCTCCATTTGTTTTCACAGCTTCCTCAGGTTCCACGTTCAGGTCCTTACCGGCCAGCAACTGTCTTGCAACTAACTAAATTCTAGACTTATCCTGCTTAGAACACCTCAGCACAGACCTCACAGAAAACACCTCTCCCAACAATTCTTATACTGTTACATCATGTAACTACTGCACAGACTGCACAAAGAACCCCACTTCCCAGTTACTCCACAGATGTGTTACAAATCTGTTGCCAAGCACTGGGCATATCTGCAGAGCCATTCCCTAGCAATAGCTGTCTCTGCTGGCTTCAGTTCTTGCCCTAATATGCCACAATGTAATGATGACCAATGGGAGAGTCAGTCGGCTGCAGTTGAGAGTTGTGAGATGGTTGCCAGGAGGTATAGGCACAAGCACGGAAGCTGAGGAATAGCCACTGCTGACAGCTGCTACCCAGCAAGGACCAGTGAAGAACATAACAGATTGAGCCTTACAATGTGCTATAGCGATTTGTAAATTGTGCAGATTAACCTTTAACGTCCGAATGGCACATATATAGGTCGCAAGCAGCAACTGGAGTTGGCCGAATGACCTGTATATATACCTACCTCTCAACATTATAAATCCCACACAGCTCTAAAACTGGCATTAAATAATGCAAGAATCAACCAACCACCTAACTTCTTGAGAAAAGTGAAACCTCTACAATTTTTTTTTTAAATAAAATGTTGCATACAGTGAAAATGTGATAGAATGAGTATGGCTTGTAATGAGAACTTCATTATAGCAACAAAAACAATTTTAATCGTCAAATTCTTAATGTTGGACATATGGAAAACTACTGCATAAAGAGAGAGATTTTTCTCCCAGTATTATTCTTAACTCTATCCATAGTTCTGATGTACTGTCAGTGACAGCATCATTGAACTTATCAGTGATCTAATTTTTCAAACACTGTCTTGTCAGGCTTCTCTTGTTGCTTCATACTGCTGCAAAAGTAGAAACGTGAATATAGTAAACTCCTGTTATCCAACATGTACAGAGAATGGTGTTTATCACTTCCATGACAAAAACTATATTAAAAAAAAACAATAATCATAAGTTTCTTGTATATGAAGAAATCAGTTGCATGTCATGTTCTTGTAAAATGGTGTACAGAACTGTTCATGAATGAGCCTGTAATATTTCAGCGTGTCCCTGACATTATTACAGCTGCAAGACATACATCTCCTGTTCAGTCATGTCATGAAGTTTTGTGTCCATCATTATCAGGTGTGCCTACTAATAATGTCATCTCTGACATCAACCACTGGAATAAAATAGTAAGTGGTGTTGAATCTTTGTTCATATGGGGCCCCTCTTGTATTCTCAATCCACAAGACCTACAATGAAATGACGGATACTACCAAACTTAACCTGAGTGCTATGCTCTTGACCAAATATTATCTCTGCTTCTGCCCACAGTGCTGTTTTCACATGCTGCTATATGTTTCCTTCGAGCTCACTCACACTATCACATAAGACTGCTTCATTAGTCACTCTCCAAAAGTAGCTCCCAGGAAACATATTTTCTATCTGTGCCATTATAACAAAATTATATTTTGAGAAAAATACAGTGTGTGTATATATAGCAGTGTCTATGATATAAGCACAGAACCTGCAGGGCGAGTACTATGGCCCAAAACAATGGAAACAGTTTATTTAACGTGGATCTGGAAATGGTTCAGTAATGAACTGCAGCCATCGGATGGTGTTCCAGCAACAGCAGGATTAGAACTGTGGCCATAAACTCAATATATGATATGGACACTTCTGATGGAAATTGGGGGCTCTGAGTGGACAATGTGAATGACTACTTGTCTTTTATCACTATCACCTTCCCTATTCAACAAGATATACAGCTGTCATCTTTACAGTGACAGTGAGTTGACCACTTCAGTAGCATGTAACACCAGGCATTCATTTCCAGTGAACTGCAGATACAGCCAAGTGCTACTCTTTCAGTGTCATAGTTGCCTTGTAAGTGTGTGCTCAAACTGGACCATTACACATTCCAAAAATAAGAAGCCCGTGGTAATGTTGCAGCACAGGTAAAGCTGTACATGGAAAGGTGTTCTTAATGTTGATTTCTGAACCCACACGTTTCATGCCACTGATTGTCACATCAAGGATACCAGTAATGTTCACCCTTCTGTGGTAGACCTCTGAAGACACAACAGTGCATGAAACAGTTATGTGGAAGGGCACATACCGAGACGTGTAGAGGAGACTCCTCATAGCAGTGCTCATCAAATACAGCATTTAACTGCATGCATAGGTATCTTATATACTCAATACCAAAGTAACCTGCTACAGAATAAAACAATACATGTGATGAAGAGAGGGGGAAAAAAACGAAGAATACACGGTGCCTAAACCCAGAAGACGACTCTCTTCATTGTCATCGCCGTGAAAACCTCAAAACTTACAATACATGTGATGTTCAAAATATTTATTCTGTAATTTAGAAATAACGAAAGCTTTCAATTCACTAAATTTACAATTAAACGGAATTTTGTTAACAACACAATTATATACCACATACTTTTATAGTCATATGACAGAAAAGGAAAAATCACTGAAAATTTAAAATTTTATTTCCCTTCATCTGTATGGTTCTTAACTCAATGGGTAGGATAATGGATATTCAAGGCCCCAAATTTAAATAAACCCAATGAGTGTATTATTAAATCTACTGCTATAAGCATAATGCAAGAAAACAAACATGACTTACCAATACTGGTTACTGCAGAAACAGTGCGGAACTGATGTATAATGTTGCGAGGCAAGAAGTAAATATCATTATCACAGAGCTGGATACGTGCATACCGGATTCCCTCCCTACGTAATTGATTTAATTTTGCATCTTCCAACCACTGCACACACTACAACAACATAAATCTATAAATCAGAATACACTTGCACTACATAAATTTCACTGAAAGACTCTCTATCTCTTAGAACTGACTCAACCTTATATACAAGGCTAGCAAAACAACTCAGAGCATGGTAATACGAGAGCAATAAACTTCCATTTTGTGTAAGAGAGTAATAAACTTCCACCTTACATATGCACCTACTAAGACAACATAAAGCATGATAATAAAACGAGTAATAAACTTCCATTTTGTGGCTTTTAAAGAGACCAAAGAAAATGAAGGGTGGCAGTCTTAGTTCTTGCCTCTACAATTAATGTGTATTTTCATTTATATTTTGCTGTACAGTTTTCTTCCGTAAAGTTGCACCCTGAAAAAGACAACATAGGAAAAAGGTAAAGTTGTCCCTGTGCATAGTTAGTTAAACACTATGCCATGAAAACATACTGGGCAAAGAACATATAGCTCCACCTTTCTTGACTGTGACACCAGATGGAGGTGAGCAGTCAGCTTCATGCCCCTACTGCTTTACCCTCCCATTACCCTTTGGATAGGAGAATGGGTGGGACCCATATTTGGTACTGACGCTGTGGAGAAGAGAAAAATCTTGTACTGTTGGGAATCAAACCTGGGCCGTCCAGCCCATAGACCACTGCTATACTGGCTGAGCTATCCTCACTCCAAGATAAGATCAACTTAATTTACTTACAAGGAGAAAAATTTTCAGATCTCCGTGCATGTTTTTGTGTATTCCGACTATAGTGAAGGACTACTTAGAAGAAGGAAAATTTTCAGATCTCTGTGCATGTTTCGGTGTATTCCGACTATAGAGAAGGACAAGTGCTGAGATGTTTATGCCTGTAGATCATATTACTAATCAGAAAATACAGACAAATAATAATTGAACCCCAAGCATATGACCATAAAGGCTAACAGTATCATGTTCATGTGTGCTGGAGTGGTATGCTAGTCCTACAGCACCTACAGTTGATCAGATCAATACAATTTCACAAAAAGTTACATTAATGTTGGTAATAAGTTATCATCTGGAAAACCCCTTCCACTTCTACCACAGAAACTTGTATCAAAAAAAGAGAATTATTCTGAAATTAGTGCTACACTTTGGACACTGCACACTGCAAGTACATGTTAATTTCAGTATAACTGGAGAAAAAACTTGCAGCTCTACAAACTTCATGAGTAAGAAGACTCAACTGTCAAAATGCTTTATGAGCTTGCTCACAGGGCTGAGTATTCAATGCACAAATGATTTATTTCTCAATTACAGACTATGGGCACATCATGTGAGTATATTTTCACCTGAAATACAAAAACTAATGTACCACAGAATAGATGATGCTATAAATATTTACCTGTGATATTGGTGGTTCATGAAGATCTAACTGGAGCTTCTCAACAAGATCTGGAAAGTCTCCAGCATAAAATGCTACCACATCTTTTGTGACACGATTGTGATCATAGGATTGAGTACCATGCACAGCTTTCAAAATACCTAAAACAAATGCATCACATAAAAAGTACACAATTCTTTAGACATACATATGAAAGATATTAAATGTGCCAATTCAATTTCTTAAAAAAAAATATAAATCCATGATTTGAGCACAGTTTCTACAGTTTTCCCCCCAAAATGAAACTCTTTTACATTATTTCATGTTAAAACAAATAACTCTGCACTGGGGCCAGTATGACTATAATAAAAAAGTGCACTGATGAAGTTGAGAGCAGATTAAATTTGGGAAATGCTTGCTATCATTCATGTGAAAAGCATGGAAGAGAGGAGAAACGCATTCAAAGTTTTGGTAGTGAACGTAAAGGGAAGAGAACAGTCTCAAGAACTAGGTATATGTGGAAAAACATTAAAATATTAAAAAAAGGGATATGAGGATGTAGACTGGATTCATTTGGGTCAGGACATGGACTGGCAGCAGGCTCTTGCGATCATGGTAATCAACCTTTACGTTTTTTTTTTTAATTCGCTCATTGGGTGGTGGAGCCCAATTGGGTCCACTCGGCACGGTGGCCACTGATTGGCCTATTGTACCTGCCCGGGTGATTATGACGATGGAGAATTTGGTGGAATGAAGATTGGCAGGAGAAACCGAAGTATTGGGAGAAAACCCGCCCTAGCGCCACTCTGTCCACCACAAATCCCACTTAACCAGACCCGGGCCGACGCTGTGGGAAGCCAGCAGCTAACTGCTTGAGCTATGGCGAGGCCCAACCTTTAGGTTCCATAAAAAGCTGGACACTTCTTGACAGGCTGAGCAACTATTACTTTCTGAAGAAATGTGTTACTCCATTTAGTTAGTTAATTACTATAACCAGTATGAGAAAGGAATGCTGCTTTCATATTCTGTGCAAATTATTGAAATATTATTAAGTTAGCTAATTCTCCAATGTGCATCACTGGGACACAAGAAAATATGCTACTTTCCAATGCCACATTTTGCAGAGAAAATCTAAATACAGTGGAACATTTTAAGGCACTAGGCCAGGATACAGAAAAAACAGATAAGAGCCTCATTATATTATAGATGATTCAGCACGTTCCTTGTAAAATACAGTGCATTCTTTTGTGTAATCTTGAAAGTGCAAGAACTTACAAAAACACCTACAACCAATCCTTTAATATACATATATTACAAGTGTCAAATTCTGCAATCATAATGTATACAGACTGGAGACTCCACATCTGCCAATTTTCAAACATGAAAAAAATCAGGAGACCTTCTTTGTGAAATATTTTCAACGAAACTGCATTTCCAAGACATATTAACCACAATTACACCTGTGGTAAATTGCTTACCAGTACAGAGTAATGCTTTCACTGCTGAGTCCATTTACAAAATTAAAGGGAAATCAAGTACTCATTTTAAATAATACAAGCATACTTAACCTTACTTACTATGATGGTGGTTTGGGTTGATTTAGATATATTAAAGTTTGCCATACAAAGGACAATACTGTATGAATTCATTACATTTACAATACGCTACAAACTAGAATTCACTATAATAATCATTTATTTATCTTGAGATGTTACTTTGATAAAAGAACGTCATATTTAGTTCCTTGCTAGGTGTATCACTTCATCTTGAGCCAATGTGGAGCCCCCAATGCCATCTACCTAGAATTTTCAATACCGTGTAACATTTTTCAATGCAAGGTTGTACACGCAGCTCCATGTTGTACTTGGCACACATATACCTGCTCTTTCTTCTATTCTTCTCGGCTACAGCTGTGATTGAAAAGACATAGTAATATCTCGCTGCATTCTTTTTATTCTCTGTGGGTGAAACTAGTGATAGGATATGTCTTTCACTGAGTTGAATAGGTTGGACTAGAGATGATGGCCAGGAAATTACTTTCACTGAGTCAGAGTGGTTGGTCTAGAGATGATGACCGTCCCTTTATCGGTGACAGTTTTGCTTTGTGGTATTTTTGGATTACTTTTCTGATCTGAGCTGCAAATCTGTCAATGATGTATTTCTGCCTGCTTTCACATTATAAGGCAGTATATGAATTCAATACAAGATCAAGGAAATGGGGGGAAACAATCTCTTGCCCCATTTCAATTATTTTCTTACATATTCTACGGAGATCATCATATCAAATCTGTTTACAGCAACTGATGCTGAACTGAACTGTTGTTGTTATTGTTGTTCCTGTTCCCTACATGGTACATACATATGTGAGAGTTCATGATCCTATAAATTTCACTATTCATATTCATCTCAGAAATGTATACCTCAAGAATATGAATGTATGCAATTATAAATATTATCTTTACTCATTTCTCTATATAATTAAAATATAAAAGGTATGGATAAATCTAGGTACATTGTATGCATGTTACTACAATTGCACATTACAAACATACAAGACTATAACAAAAGCATGTTTTCTACTGGAAGTGGAACAGATTATAATCATTCCACATAAGTTTCATACTCACCAACAGCAGCTGTGGTCATTCTATCCAAGCCATGTCCAACATGATCAGCATGTGCCTTAGTCCGGTCCTCAAACATATATTCGCGAGCTTCTGAGAGTCTTGGAAGATACTGCAGATTACGCAACTCATTAATACCAGTCCTGAAACATAACATAAATAAGATAAAAATATTACTCAATGCCTCACTAGACTCCACAGAAATGAATCCCTCTGCATACATTTACATATCTTTACAGCAATGGGGGGGGGGGGGG